CCCCTCTCCTCTCCCCTCTCCCCTCTCCCCGCTCCCTGCTCCCGGTGCCCGCGGTGCCGCCGCCCGGCGCTGCCCGCTCTCATCCCCTCCCTCCCGCAGGAGCCCTGCGTGGCCAAGCGGGTCCCCCCCTGCGGCCCGGCCCGTTCCACCGTGCAGGGGCTGCGCTGGCTCCTCCGCGCCGCCGCCGCCCCGGGCCCGCCTGCCCCGAGGGTCCCCCTCGCCCGCCCGGCCGCCCGCAGGTTCGTGCCTGTCCCCGGCCCCGGCCCGGCCCCGCAGCGCTCGCCCCCAGCCCCTCCGTGCTCTCTCCCGCAGGGACCGGCCGCCTCCCGGGGAAGAAGCTCGGGAGGGCTCGGGGAAGAACGGGGAGCCCCGGCCGGAGCGCCCCGTCTGCCGCCTCCTGCCCCTGGTGAGGGACCGAGACCCCGGGATGGGACCGGGTGGGAGAGGGGCTCTGCCACCCTCTCCTCATCCCCCTTTCCCTGCCCAGGAGAACAGCGCTAAGGGCCCCAGGAGGAGGAAGAGGAAGGTGAAGGTGAAGAAAAAGGGCTCGGGGCACCCGAGCCCAGCCGAAGAGCCGGAGGGACCGGGAGCAGGGGGTGACAGCCGTGCGGGGGCTGCCGGGGGGCTGCTGCTCCCCAACAGGGTCGGGCAGGAGGAGCCCACACCCGTCGGGATGGTCACCCCCCACACAGGTGAGAGGGACTGGGGGGGCTGCCAGCTCTGCAGGACCCCCAGAGCCGCCCTACAGGGAGCTTGCCAGGCCTGGCAACGTGACCAAGTGTTGGGCCACTGGTGGCCGCCACCTCCATCAGCTTTGCTTGCAGATCAGCTGAGCAGGGAGCCAGCTCACCGGAACCCAGAGGGGAAGAGGAGACACGCTTGAGCATCTCCACAAGGGATGATGCACACAAGCAATGGAAGACTGCAAACTCGCCACCAGCAGTCCTCTCATCTGGTTTGGTGACAAAGGCACCCTTGCTCAGGTGTTTGGTGCCTGAAATTTTGTATTTCTCCATTCAGCACAGGGTATGAAAAAGAAAAAAAAGAAGAAAATCAAGAATAAAATCAAGTCACGGGAAGCTTCTCTGGAGCAGCGGCGTGAGGAGGTCTCAAGCACCTTTGGTTGGTATTTCTCAGGATGGGTTCTGCTGAAAGCACCAGGGCTGTGGCAGAGGGCCGTGAGCTGTGGGGGGACACCTGGCCATGGGGTGCTTGGTGTGGGGACAGGCACAGGAAAGTGCTGCTGCGGGGGGAAAGGTGGGGGCTGCTGTGGAGGCAGATGCTGCTGCCTGTGCTGGGAGGTGGGATGCAGGGAGGCCACACGAGTGCCCTGTGCTGGAGCCTGGGCTGTCCTGCAGCCCGCACTCAGCACGGGTTGCCGGGTGGAGCTGGTCCCGGTGCCCGACTGCTTCCCTTGTTCCCAGATCTGTACCGCCGGGCCATGCTGGCTCTGAAGATGAGGCAGGAGCAGAGGAAGCAGCCGTCGGCCATCGCTCCCTGAGCGGGGAGGCACAGGGCTCGGTGGCAGTGGGACCCTGCTGGGGCGCTTGGCCGGGGCTGGCAAAGCTCCTGGGCCATAAACAGCATCACTGTCCTCTGCAAGGCTTGAAAACCAGGGATCCGCAAGGGCGAGCCGAAAATCCCTTTGTCAGGGCTTCTCTGGCAGTGGGACTGCAAATCCGGCTGAAAAGGGAACGGCTGCCCCTTGCTGCCCCCTGCTCGCGTCCTGCGGAACGCTCCGTCTAAACCCGGATCAGCCTGCGGAGGATCCGAGCAACATCACAGGGGGAAATCTTGTCTCTTGAATTGCCCTGTGCCCTGGGAAAGCTGTCTTTGCAGGCCAGGGGCTGACCCGGCCCGGCAATCTCTCCCTGGCTGCTGCCTGGGGCAGTCTCGTTCCTGCGGCTGGAGGTGGGAGGGCAGTCCCGGGTGATGTGCAGAGGAGCTCAGCCCAGCCCTGGGCCACATCTGGCAGGGCTGCCAGGACCCTCTCCACACACGGGAGGAAGGTGATGCCGTGCCTGTGCCTCCTGCAGCCCGTCACTGAAAATTTAAGTTCAATGGCAGGCGGTGGCAGAGGCTCCCTGCCCGGACTCGTTCCTCCTGATCCCACCATCAATTCCAGAGGGACACTGCCACTGCAGCCTGGCACTGCTGCCCCAGTGGTCCTTGATGCAGGGCTGAACAGGGAAAAGAAAAGAAACTGGCTACTCTTGCTGGCCTGCCATAAAGTTCTGTCTAACTCTGCTATATTCGGTGGTTGGTGACTTCAAGGATTATTTGTAAATGAATTGTAAATAACAACAGCAGGAGTTGTAAATACAGCGCTTTCAGTAACCCCCTGTCTCAGTCTGGTGGGGGTCCCTGTGGTGGGAGTGCTGTGGGGTAGAGGGTGAAGTGGGCACCACAAATGAAATGGTGGTGAGTGGTTCCCTCCCATGAATTTTGGGTTTGTTGGAAAGTGCTGGAGCTCCAAATGTGCTGAGAAGCAGGAAGCAGTGCCTCAGCAACTGCTCTGGAGAGACACATTTTCCGTCTCTTGTGCATAGTATCAACAGCATTTTCTACACGGAGCCAGCTGGTGACACAACCCTGCTTTGCATTTCAGCACTTGGATATTATCTAGCACATCCCTCTGTTTCAGTTCCCAGAGAAGCTGACTCAGGAGCATCAGGGTAATGCAAAGTGTTGTGCCTGGTGCCACCAGCACTGTCGTGGTGCCTCAGCTGGGCTGTGGCTGCATTCTTGTGAAGTGCTGTGTGAGTGCTGCAGTTCTGCAGCTCTTGATGCTGCTCACCCAGAGACCCACGTCTGCCAGCAGGGCCACCAGCAGCTCTCTCCAGCTGGGTCCTTCTGAGCCTGAAGGATGGAGAGAGGTGGAAGGAGGGAGTCTCCCCTTGGCTTGCCAAAGTTGATGACTGTTTGGTGCTGCCAGGAGGAGATGAAGAGATGTTTCAGCAAGTGCCTGTGGGAATACACCTCCCACCTCCTCATACCGACGTCACTTTGCACAATTGGATTGTTTCCTGATGCCTGTTATCACGATCAAAATTTAAATGTGTGGGCTGGAAGTTGAAGAGTGAGACTACTGCTCTTTTGTGAAGAGCGCTGCTTGGTCAGTGTTAAAAACACGGCCAAGTCCTCCTGTGTACAGGACCCCAGCAGTCTTTCCAGCAGCAGGAAGTCCTGGAGGAGAGCCTGGAAGATGGGTCCGTGTGCTGAGGCTGTCAGCTCCACCCATGGTCCTGCGGTGCTTTCTCCAGTGTCACTGAATTTCGATTTCTGCACACTGGCTGGGCTTAGCCAGCAACTACACTTGATGTCATAGCCCCTCCTGGCTCCACTCTACCCCAGAAATGGATGGGGAGGGTGATGCTGGCTCTGAAATCTCCTCTGAGAGCCCTTGATTTGCCTCACACATGGGCAGGAGAGGAGGGTCCCCACACCAAGCTGCTGCTGTACATCCACTCTTGTGTTTTACTGAGAAAAACTAAACTGGGTGGTTCTCCCGTGTACCTTTGTGTTTCCAGGGGAGTGGGAACCGTTGTGGATTTCATAATAATTTCCAGGATTTTGATGGAGGATCAGCCTTCTGAGCACCTGCAGTGGGGATGCCCCGTGCTCCGAGGGACAGACAGGGAAGGTCCCAGATCGGTCCTGGGGGGCTCCACAGCAGCTGTGAGGTGGCAAAACCCATAAGCAAGCAGGTCTGACAAAGGAAAATAACTTAAATAAGAGACAGAGATTTGTGATGGGTGAAAAACATAGCAGTTCTTTGTTCTTCACTAAACCAAATTTACAGAAGGAGCCAGCAAGTGCTTTTTGAGAGCATCTCAAACATTGGAATTTGGGCACCGATTTAGGGCAGTAAAGGGAATTAACTGCAAGTGATTCAGGTTAATGGGTGTTTCACAAGGCAAATGGAATGGATCACATCCTGTGGGGTGCCTGCAGGTAACTCTCATTCCCCACCAAGCCATCTGTAAATCCCATCACCTGTCCTGGGGCACATGAACAGCCAGAGCGTGGGCAGGGGGTCCCTGGAGTCCAGAGCCTGGGGTTTGGGCTGGTGAGGGGCTTTCACGTGGAGCTCTCCCCTTCCTGCTTCATGACAAAGGTACAAAAACGAATTCAAAAACATCTCTTACCTCACCACAGCAGTGCCTGTGGGGGAAAGGTGAGCAGCCCCTGCTCCTTGGCTTTGCTGTGCCTTGGGAGGCACTGCTAAGGTGTGGGGCTCTTTCCCACGTTACACTGTTGTCTAAAAGCTGCTTATAGAATGCACAGACTTAAATAAACATGCATAAAAAAGGCTTTTAAACCTTGGAATGGGTGTTAGGGTTGATAAGAGCCTGGGGTGGGTGGTTTTTTGTGCTTGAGAAGCTGGTTGCTATGTACACTTTCTCCTGCTTGCAGGTTCTACCCTCTGACTAACTTGGGTGGGCTGGGCCAGCATGCTCCTGTGGAACTTTCCCTGCTGAAAATGTGAGTGTTGGGGAGTGGCTCAACTGTTTTTAGATGAGCGCACCAGGGTCCAGGTGACTTTCAAGAGATCATTCAAAATATTGCAATATATGTGATAACAGGCAGCTGTCAGCAGGTTGAATAATGAGTAACCATGCACAGAGTTTCTTTTGGGTGTTTTGTTATCTGCTGCAGAGCCTCTGTTGTGTTACACTGAAAATGAGACCTGCAGTGCTTGCTGTCACGTATGCTGAAAAGCTGTTAGGAAAAACAAGGCAGAACTCATTGGCAGTAACTCCCTAAGCTTCTTTTGATTGTCATGGAAGAGGCTATTAACACTTTGTAAGAAAGGAGATGACAAAGGACTGGAAAATGAGAAACGATGAAAACTTCCCCTTTCTAGGTTAAATGAGCCTTGTTGGAGCTATCATTGCTGGCAGAAGGAAGAAGGATATAGTCAAATTTATTTAATAGCTGTGTTTGTCTTGGGGCACCAGGAAATATGCTGGAGGTTGAGGTATATGGATCACATACCAAAAATACTTGCTGGGTTTTCCCCCTTTGAAAAAGAAAAAGCCTTCTTTTAAAAAGAGACATTTTGTTAACTAAAATTTGTATTCTCTTTCATAAATTATCACTCTGTGAGTTGCTGCATATTTGAATAGGTTATTTCACACTATAAGGAGAAAGTGCCTCTTGAGAAAGGCTATCAGTGTATTAATTAGAAGGGCTTTTGCTACAGGATATCCCTGGATGTGGGGTCAAGAGCAAATTTATTAACCAAAGTTTTTCATTTGAAAGTCAGCTGCAGCAATCCAAGCTCAAGCCTTGTCTGTGAGAGAACTTGCACCTTCTTAAACTGTACTTATATTCCAGTGCAACTGAGTTTAGCAGGACTGTAGCCCAAATACCTGACTGGTGGCATAAATCTGGCTTGCTCCCCAAGCTCTCATCTGATTAGACCTAACACCCCACCTTCCATGCACAGCGCAGCCGTAGGAGAGGTTTGGGGTGATTTTGTAGGGTTTTCTATGTTTATTTTTTTTATAAAAAACCCCTATAATAAATCAGCTGTCACCCTACACGCTTGGAGCAACGAGACCTACTTCAAGCTGTAGCAACTCTAAATACGAGCCCGTAGAACCCGTCAGGGGTGGGAAGGACCTTGACGAGAATTAACGCGTCTCCACTGGCTTCATACGACACCTGATATTATAAAAATCCGTACAATATTTGGAAGCTGTGGAGAGCCGATTGCTTGTTTTGCAGACAGCTCTTCATCCTCCTGGCCACACGATGGCAGAAGAAGCAAAGAACACGGCAAAAATAAATGTTTAAAAACAAGGTGAGGGTCAGCGTGAGCCCCAAGGGCGGAGGGGAGCCCGGGTACCTGCCAGGACCCAACTTCGAAAAGCTCCATCGCCCTGAGCAGGCAACACAGGGACAGAAAAACTGTTTGTGAGAGGATTTAGTGGATTTACCCCAGCCGTGGGGGTTCAAGGCAATCCCTCGGGTTTGTTCTCTGCTCGCAGTCTGAGCGCTCGGCTGATGCTCTGCGCAGCTCATTTTTGTGCTGATTGAAGCGGCGATGGACCCAACCAAGCTGTGTGGTGTGAAATGCTCCCTCGGAGAGGGACCTGTCCCTTGTGGTCCCCTTCCATGGGCTGGCTGTGGGACAGTCCCTTCAGGAGCCCCTCGGGTACTCCTGAGCCCCCGCACAGCTCCGCCTGTTCGCGGCTCCAAAAAGCGCACCGAAAACAGATTTATTTCCCTTGTGGAGAGCCGTGAAATGATACAATTGCTACCAAATCGGCAGTGGAACCGTGCCGGCTGTTCCAGGGCATGGAAAAGCCCAGTGAGGCTGGTTGGCTTCCCTGTGCTGGGCTGGTTTCTGCTGGGACCGGGCTTTGCTGCCCCGAGGCCACTGTGTCAGCAGCTACAGGGGGTGACAGCTGCCTCGATTTCCCCGGTGAAACCCTGCCTTCGGCTCCTCGGGGTGAAGCAAGGACATTGCTTAAATCCATCTATGTGCTCCAC